TCCGTCCGCGCTCGCCAGGCCCGACGGCGGCTGCGTGCGGGGCAGGGCGGGCAGAGCCGCCCTCAGAACCGTGGTCGGGTACCACTGCCGGGAATTGCTCGTCCCAAAAGAGGGCTCATAGAATCATAGAATGCCTCGAGTTGGACGTGACCTCCGAAGGTCATCTGGTCCAACCCCCCTGCAGTGAGCAGGGACACCCCCGACTAGAGCAGGCTGCTCAGAGCCCCATTCAGCCTGACCTTGACAGGGTCATTTACCCCATGCATGATACACCAATATACACCCAGAGCAGAGGCGTTTGCGCAAAAACGGGTTTTAGGTGGTAATTCCACCAAGCCAGTGCACTGACATTCTTCATCACCAGTTATTTATGCACAGAGGCTTAATTATTCAGCTTCCTGGTACATATGCGTTGCTATTCACTGATAGATTGGTTAGAGTATCTTTGCTTGCTCTGTGAAACACTATGCACGCTCTGTCTCCTCTTCTGGGCCATGAGTCAGCGGACCCGATCTCCCCCTGCCACATTTGCCTTTCCCCCAGTTCCAGCAGAATCTCCCCATCTTCATGTTTCTTTTGGCAATTCCCCAGTTCTCAGTGCCTTTTGGGGAAGATGTTTCCTTTTATCAGTCTTCTCTTTCTCAAAGGCCTAGTTGTTAGCTTTTCACAGTTCACTGATAACGGTTGATTGATGGTTGGACTTGATGACCTGAGGTCTTTTCCAACCTTAGTGATTCTATAAAGTGAATACGTTGCTATGTCCTCCCTCCTTCCCACCGCCAGATCATGCTTCACAAGTGGCTTTTGTACTTTATTGTTTTGCTAATTGGGGAAATTTATTACCTGCTGTAGATCCCTGTGACTGGCTGCACCAAGGTGGGCCAGCCCAGGCAGCGCAGGGGCTCCTGCCCACCAGCACCGAGCCTGAGGCCCAAATGGGGAGAAGCTAACATCAGTTTGGCACTGCTTCATGGCTTCCCACTGCCTCTTCCTCCACAGTGGTTGCCCCAAGGCATGGGGCAGGTGAGTTATGTCTCCACAAGGCTCTGCTCAGCCCTGGCACCTGCAGAGCTAGATGAATTGGGAAGGGTGGTTGGGGATGCAGGAGGGATGAAGGAGAAGTGCTTTCACAGGCTCTTTAGGCATGTCAGGAAACACCTGCCTCTTTCAGTAGTGGATTGTGCAAGGATTTAAAAAGAAGACCATTCGGTCTGTCTTACCCAGAGCTTTTTCTTCAAAGGGAACTGCAAAGGGAGAGCTGCTTCCTCAGGCTCCCTGACACCTCCTGGGAGATGCAGGTAGTTGGGCCTCTCACTCAGAGCTCCCCATGTCTGACTTTGTGGTGTGAAAGAAATGGACACTTCTGAGGGAATCCTCAGCAATGACCTGTTCTGAAATACTAAGTGGTCAGAGGTACTGGGCCACATCTCAGCAGTCTTCTGTTCCCCATGGAGATTCCCCTGTCTCTCCTTAACAGGTGAAGTGCTTTGTCACCTAGCATTGAGGTATGTTGTCTGGTGTCCAGGCCTCAATGTGTGGCAACATCTCCTGTTGTGGAGAACACCCCTTGACCTGCAGTGCTGGATTTGATCATTGGTTTGTCCATATGCTGGAGCAGATGCTGAGGGAAAGGGCCCTAAAGGCTTAAGCAACACTCCTTCTTCTCCACACTTGGTGCCCCTAGAGCAGCGGAAGAGTGAAGGTAACGGGCCTACCTGTCAGTCTTTTCTAGTCTGCTCTTCCCACCTGGGCAGCACTTGCTCCCACGCTCTTGCAAGTTCCACCCCAAGGTGCAAAGATCCTTGCTTCCAATCAAAGCACAGCAAATGATTCCATTGCTTTTGAATCTCAGACTCTTTATTACAGTTCTCACCCTAATGATGAAGCTGAAAAAGCTCCACACTGTGTGGGAGAAGATCACAATGGTTGTAAGTTCAGCAGAATGGCTTTTTTGCATGACATCTTGCAGACAGAAGTATCCATGAGCTGCAGCACTTCCTTCTGTAGGGAAGATGGAAGGAAGGCACAGAGGGCAAACAACCCTTCCCAAGGGTTAAGCAGAGATGTCCAGGTGTCCTGGCTGCAGCGTCCGTTCTTACAGACTTCCAGCAGCACAGAGGTCAGAGAGGCTTCCATCTTATGACCTTCTCATCTCATGTGAAGAGACAGTCACCACAAGAGTGGTGAAATCCCTGCCCCAAAATAAGCATCTGAGAGGCGTTGCTTTAAGGTGTGAGCTGAGGATGGCGTTTGCATGTAGAGGCCACAGTGACAGGCAAAGTACCGTCAAGTGTTAGAAGAATAGAAAGCCCTTGGGAAATGTGACTGCACGTTTTGCCCATGATCTATTGCATCGAGGGCTAATGCAGATCTGTTTGCCCTTCCTTTTCTTGACACTTGAGGCAAAAGGTTTGGGGTGGAAACAGGAAAGGCAAGCCTAGTTCTTTTCTGAGGAGTTCTGGATGTGCAAAGTCAGGGAAGGTACCGTAGTGGTACCAAATCCTGTGAATAAGCTTTGACCTGAAGACTGTAAAAGAATTTATCAGAGTTGGTTGTTTGTGATTGCACATTAGTTTTTGTACATTATTTGTCATTCAAATATTTGTTGAAAAAAGCCTGGATCTGTGGCCAAGCATGAACCTGAGCTTTAGAATGAGCCTTGAGCTCCCCACCCAGGACTGCCCGCTTGTGAAAAAGGGGGTGGTTTCCTATGGAGTAGAAAGGGAAAAAGGGAGGGTCGATGCAATGCCCTGTTCCAGGGTAAGACAGAATCTGAAAATTTTCCTTCCCTTGAGCCTGCAAAAGCTTGCAGGCTTCAGTAGCATAATAGTCAGATTTAATAAGGTGATCGTCTTGTCCAACAATGAATAGTAACTGTGCCTCAGCTTTCTCTAGTGGGATGAGGCTTTGGTTGCCAGGGGCTTGAAAGGGGTCAATAAGGACATCAGAACAATCCAGAATATTGAAATCGGTGACCTTGATCCGTTTTTTTTCAACGGGCAAAACGGGGATGGTTTTATCCTTGTAACGGAGAGGAGTAATTAGGTTGGCCACGGGGCCATTGATGGAAGCAACAGCTGTGATGTTCTTCAGGAAGACAGCCATGGCAAGAGACAGATCAGCTCCTTTGGAGTAACCGAGCACGCCAACCCCTGGCCCCTTCACCTGGTAGGTAGGAGGAAATCCCCATCAGTACTGAGCTACAAAACACAACAGCTAGTTCATGGAAAGGGACATTGCATAAAGCTGAGAGCTTGCAAAACACCACGGAGGAGGTGATGGCAGCGATTAGTTCTTGTTCAGACAAGTGCCAAGTGTCATCTCCCCTTCAAACCGCCGCCTTTGGCAGTGTTCCCTGGTGCGTGACATCAGCCAAGAGAGGGGGAACATGATTGCACCAATCTGAGGACAGATTGTTGGACAGCTAAGAATTAAACTGGCAGATGCTCTTTCCTTTTCACTTTTAAGACTGCAGGAGCAAATTTGTTGGTCATTTATGAAGGCTTTCTCCTGTACAGCCTTTCCACCTTGCTATGTCTTCTTGCAAGATTGCTTTGTGATCTTTCCCTGCCACCCTTCCAGTGCATATCTGTCTGACCTTTCCTCTTTCCTAGAACTCAGACACTCATACTCCCAGCAGATGCCAGCTGTGCTAGATGAGAATTTCAGCAGCTGCCTCCAGAGGTAACTCAGGCAAAGGGACAGGCACTTTGGAGAAGCACTGCCTGGGGAACCCAGAGGCACACGGAGGATGCTCCTACCTGTGGGTGCTGCAGCATGTAGTTCACCGCCTCTTCAAAATATTCCAGGTGGAATTCAGTTGGGTTTTCGGGCAGATCCTCATATCTGAAATAAGCCAGGGCCAGTGTGGCAAACCCATGATTGGCCAGCAGGCTGGCTCTGTGTTCCACAAGACCTCCTCCAAGTCCATGTATGTCGATGATCCCTGGAAAGGTGCCTTCTCCTGGAGCAAACGAGGCAAAAATCAGTACTGCCTTGTAGTGTCTCCTTTCAATGTTTCTCTGGTTTAGAACACATCAAAACATTTACACAACAGGAACTGCAGAGGAGCATCTTTTGGGGAAAGGACATCACCAGTCATTTAGCTGTGCAGTGTCAGCAGCTGACAAAACCCTGGTCTGTGCTGCAGAGGAGGAGAGGCTCAGGAGCAGAAACTTTTGAGTAAGGTGTGAACCCTTATTTGTTTTAGGAGTCAGCATTTTTTCTGCACTGTGCTTAGGGCCAACAGGCAGAGACTCTTTGGTGAAGATGTCTTGTCCCAGCTTCTCTTCTCCCTATAAGCAGCCCTGTAACAACAGCCACTTCACCCTGCACTTTAAAAATCCTCAAGGTCTCATGAGTTGATAGAGGTAACACTAGAAACTGTAAGCATTTGTGTTTGTATTGTGGCTGTTGGACATTTGAGATCACTTGAAAAGTGCTAAGTGGAATCCACGCAACCAGCATTTCATCTCTTTGGAGTCATCACAGAGTCATAGACTGGTAGGGGTTGGACCTCTGGGGATCATCTAGTCCAACCCCCTTGCTAAAGCAGGGTCACCTAGAGTAGGTTGCATAGGACTGCTTCTAGGCGGACTTTGAGCATCTCCAGAGAAGGAGACACCACAGCCTCTCTGGGCAGCAGAGCACCTGCTCACTCTCTGCCTTGGACTGAGGAGAGCCTTGGTGTCCAAAGCAGTACCATGCTCTTCCTTCTGCAGCTGTTTGCATGCAGGCAACAGCACGTCTATTGGCTCTCCTTAGACCGGAAGCATTCAAAGCAGTGGCTGTGTAGCCCAGAGGCCAGAGTGCTGTTGTCCATGGCCTGTGGCTCAGCTGAGTGTAGCAGAGCTATGGGGGCTTGACTGAACACTCACAGGAGAGCTGGTAATGCTCAACAGGGCTGTGCGGGTGCTCAGGGAAGATGGGACAGTACTATAGCAAAAGCTCCTTGAGCTAGCCACCTTCAGACAGCCTTAGGTCTTTGCTGAGGAATATCCAACTCCTGGATCTGAATGTAGAGATATACATTATAGAGAGCACTCCCGGGAGGAGAAAATCATGATGGGGCTATCTCAGTGCAGGACAATTTGAGTGTGGTGAAATCACAGTGGTGAAACATGTAGAATCATAAAAGAATCATAGAATGGTTTGGGTTGGAAGGGAATAGACCTGAATGGCCAATTTGGAATGATGGTCAGGCTGGTCGGTGGTGCAGGAGGAGGGGAGGGAGGGACAAAAGGAAGGATAGGGGCTTCCATGGACTCCTCTTCACAAAGGTCATGGGACAGCTCACACTGACAAAACCGGTTTAAGCAAAAAGCAGGATGGCCACGGCCAGTACTCACCGGGGGGCAGGAAAAGCATCGCCCGGATCCTCCCCTCTCGCACCGGCACTCTCCGCACCCCGTCCCACAGGAACAGCCGCTCGTGCTGTGCTCGGGCCAGGAGCCGCCCGGGGGGATCCCCGTGGCCCTCCAACACCTCCAGCTCCAGGAGCACGGGGTTCTGCATGTCCTTCTTCACCATATACCAGAAGGGCCTCTGGGGCTG